TGGTTTGATAAAATATGTCACTATCAATAAGGTAAGAGCAAAATTCTCCATCAATGTACTCAGTTCTATTATCTCTTCAAAAAATTTTGATTTTGGGATCAAACTGGGTATCCACCATTTTATGAAAAGATTGAAAGGAAGAGAAAATTTTACTTTTAGTGCGTAGTAAGTAAACTCAAGTAAGACGAAAATAACAATCAATAAAAGTGATAAATCACCCACAATCTGAGAGAAATACAACACTGGAAGGTCCCTACATATCATAATAAATAATAGCAAAAAAAGCAGTATATTTATTATTAGTATTAGGATAAGATGAACATTTGTGCTTGGCAAATTCACAAGCATTATAAACAAAAAATTATTTACTACATAGCTTCACTAGACTAGAAAAAAGATACTTTAAGACACTGATGTAGTAGCTAAAGGCTCGAAACATCATCTACATGGAAAGCTTGACAAGTAGGCTGAGGAGGAGCTTCATCATTTTGGAGATATAGACCACCAAGTGTTCTACCACTGCCAATCATTTTCTCTTTTTCCAATTTCTAAAATGTACAATGAGTAGGAAAAGAAATTGCTGAATAATTCAATGATTTGGTAATACTACTAACCGACAATAAGTTAAGAGAGAAATTTGAAACATGGAGAATAAAAGAGAGGGATAAGGTAAGTGAGCAATTAATTGAACATTTCCTAGAAATTAGGGGGAAGGATCCATTTGTCATATTGACTTTATCTCTACCAAACCATGTAGAGTATGAAGAGAAAAGCCTAGAAGAACCTATCATATGATCTGTGACTCCAAAATTTATTATCTAAGGAGTATACGAGGATAGCGCAATAAACACACTAGTAGATATACCAGTATGAGCAAAGTTGGAAGAAGAGGCATGATTAGAAGCCATGGTAGAGAAAACATCAAGCTGAGCCATCAGGCACCTGAGAGTCCGCATCTTATCCTAGGAAAATGTAAAAGAAGTGGTGGAACTAGATTGAGACAATCTCTGAAGGTTTGTCATGTGTGCATGAAAGCGTACACTACCAAAATACCCTTACGCTAGAAAAACATAATATAACAAGTATCAAACCCAATTCAATCAATACCCAAAGGTTTGGTCAAATAACGAGACCCCCTCATATATGGGAAATAATATTGACCTCCCCACTACTTTTGTTGTCGGTAACAAATTCCCCAAGTCGTTAGTGGGTTGTTAAGGCGGCGTCAGAAGTTTGCTTATGTAAGCAACTTTTTTTTTAAAAATTCCGATATTGCCCTTATCTAAGTTATATTTATCTTGCACTAGTAACCAAATAAACCATATCCACAATACTGATAGTTTAAACATGTTTCCAAACAAAATAGCTCCTTCTGACCACCCAGCCATATCACAATAACCCACTTTCCACCCGACCTCCAGTTTCTCTCTCATGGATTCATTGAGGCAGCCCTTGATCCATCTCCTCCACATCACTCCAATACTGAATAGGCACCACCACTATAGCTATTGCAACATATGCATCACCAATGTACATCAACACACACAACTCACCCATCACCGTTGCACTTCACCGGAGAAATTGTTATTATTAACTAAATTGGGTATTTTGGGGGGTGTTTTATACTTCAAATTGGTTTTATGGCTGAAATGGGTTGTTGGTAAGAATGAGTTCATGAATTTTTTGGTTGATGTGTTGGGAGAAAAAGGGAGGGAGTCAATGGTGGGTTTGATTATGTTAGTGGACAACAATTAATGAAAGTGTAATAGTAGTATAAATATAGAGGAGGTAGTGTCTTTCTGTGTATATGTATCTGCACAGCATTGTGGCTTGGCAATGGCGGTGGTTGCAGGTGCGCAATTGAGGTAATGGAGTGTGTGTGTGACTGGGTGGGGGGTGTTCCTTGTCGAATAAGCACAATGGAGCTGGGGAGGGGAGATATAAATAAATATATATATACATATAAAGAGGGAGAAGGATGCTATGGAAGAAAATTTGTTGACACATGTTGGTTATATAAATATGCATTTGTGTCTAGATAAAGTGGGAGGAGAAAAACAAGAAACATAGAGAAATAGATTGTGATTTATGGCTTTTGAGATGTGACTGTTGGAGGTGCTGGGAATTGAAGGTGAGAAGGAGAGGGGAGTGAGCAATAATGAGCTTGGGTATGACAAAATGGAGAAGACGACTTTTGAGTGAAAGAGATGGAAGGATATTATAGTCTTTTATTGATTTTTGTTACACACGAGACAGACGTTACTGACAAGGGAGGTCAGTGTTATTTTTGATACATGAGAGGGCATTGTTGTTATTTGACCAAACCTCAAGGGAGGTGGAAACAATTTATCCTTTAATAATTAGAGAAAAGCACCAAAACAAGGGTGTAATTATGGTGTGCACATGTCATTCACCAAAACTAAACCAAAAACATGTCACCTAAAACTCTATACAAATCTATAGATGAAAACCACAATATAAAGTGCTCAAACACCAAACCAAAAACATCCTTAGTTGTGTTTCTAGATCATCTTGATCTCCAACAGTACATCAAAGGAGGAATCGAGCCCTAGTAATCCATTATACCCTAAGGCTCCATTTGGATGGCGGTAATCTTTGGAATGATAATCTCATTCCTAAAGCCATGATTACCATATGGAGGTGGTTAATGAGTCAATAATTTATATCGGGAATAAAATCATTATTGGAATCAAATTCCCAATGATGGTGGGAATCCTAAACCCACTATCAATATGGTAATCTCATACACAACTTAAATTGGGTATTCTAAAAAAGGAAAAAATAGTCAAATTCAAAATTTTTTCAAAAATTTTGTTTATTGCTAAAGCTAAACTATTTACTTAAAATCATGTTCCTTCCTAAAATAAAGTTAATTACTAAAAACAATAATAAAATAGATATCCATTCCGATACTAGATTACTAATGACATCAAACACTAAATAAAAGATTACTACAATTTTTGAAACTCAGGTATTACTTTACTAGGAATGAGATGCTCATTCTCAATTAAGATTATTGTCATCCAAATGGGACCTAAAAGGCAATAATACCAAACTCCATAACTACCTTTCCATCATGCAATGCAGAGGGTGATTCATCTCTCCTAACCTCATTTAGACATGTTGTACTAATTAATTAAAATTTCTTCTTGTCCTCAAGCTATCAATGATGAAAAAAGGCTATCCAGAAATGCTAGCATCCGAGTAGCCACTGTCAGCAGGACATTAGTACACTATGTAACCTTCCAATGGAATACCAAATTCTGACCTTCAAACTAACAAGTCCATTGTTTGTCAATCTCCATTGATTAGAATCTTCCACCTCAACCTTGTAGCTTTTCCAAAAGTAAGCAATAGCCATTTGTTCCCAATCATTAAAACCTTGCCGGGAATTTGGATCCACAACTGGTATAAATGATAAGTAATGTATAATCGAGCACCCTCATCCATTATAATTTGCAACAGATCCAAATATTGATCCTTCAAAGCAAGAATTCTTCCCATCAATTCCTTATTCCTTTCCAAAGAACCGCTTTTAGGAACTTTAACTTCTCTAGAAATTCATCCACCCATTCTAAAATCCATCCTCCCAACCACTACTCTAAGTACTCTCAAGCTCCTTCTCGAAAACAAATTGCCACAACCACTTAACAATGAGGGCCTATTACAGACCCCTTAATTGATGACTTCCAAAGCATCGTACTTCAATATAGTACAACCAACTTCCAATCCACCAAGTCATTTTTTACCTCCTCTTACAAATGTCCTATAAGAAATTCTCTCTGTAGCTTCTCTAATCTCTCTCCCACAAAAACTGCAGTTTCAAAGAAAGACATTAGTGGCAAGACAAGAACAAGTGCTTCTAATGAAAGTTTGCACCTTTTACAGTGCGGACTGTGAGGTTTTTGAACTGCACGACGCTTCTCCAATCTCCCCACCAGTGAATCTCCAAACTCTTTTTTCAAATAAAACTGAATTTTATTGGATAGTAAGATATGGATTTACAAAAATAAGAGGAAATGAAGAAAAAAACCCTTATTAAAAGCTCAAAGAGCAAACAAAGATTACAAATCCATCAACATAAGTTGAAACCAGAAGAGAGCATGATTCCAAAATACAAGGTACTAATTTCAGCAGTAGAAAGCACACCACTACTCAAGCATCTATCCAGTTTAACCATGACAAACCGGAATAAACAAGCCCCTTTCAAACAAGGCAACCTAAAACTCCAAACCACACCCAAAAAAGTGTCCACTCACAACCACCAAATTCATGGGATCTGGGCCAAAGCTAGTTTTATGTGTCAACATCCCATGAGGTATGTTCCTGAATTATCCCATTGGTAACTATAAAGCTTCAAAGGGTCATCATCCAGTTTGGTCCCATTAATCGAGGGCATGGAAAGGAGTGGAAGAATGTGGCTCCTTTCAGATTCAAACTGTGAGGTTGTTAGCCTAAAATTTTTGGTGGCCCAGCCGGAATTTAGAAAGCATATTAATTAAACATTGTGTTTGGAAGCACACCCTCCATGCCTCAGTATCGGGACCAGAGAAAAGCTGAATTAAAATTGGATATGAACTATTATGGTCCTCAATTCCAATTCCAAAGCAACATAAGGACACTTGTAAAATCTTGTCTTAAACTGGGCCCTGCAATTCCATTCCATATGTTTGGTTAACAAGAAAACAACACAAAACACCTCAGCTTGATGCATTATGCTTTTTTTCCGTTTCTGAATAAGGAGACTTATGCCATTATTTGCATCACCACATATTCCAACCCTACAACCTCACAAATATTAGTACGAAATTTAGACCATAACACCAGACAAAAAAAAAAAACGAACCCTTCTCCGTTTTTGAGTGTCCTTAATAGATATAGAGCAAAATGGAAACAACCATTCTTTCTAATATGTGTTTGGTAACAGTTTGAAGTAACCAAACGGAGGAGTTTCTTATATGGGTTAACAGACACAATACCTGGTCGTGAGAATCCGGTACAGGTGGGATAAGAGAGCGGAATCCGGTCAGGGAGGCGTACACTGTTTTATTGTCGGTCGCTATGTAAGCTCCTCTTCCCGCTTTCAACTCCGACGCCTTCCCCAACACTTCTCCTGGCGTTACCAACTCTTTCTCACCTTCTCTGTCTTTCATACTCTCTCTCTCTCTCTCTCCCTCTCTCTCTCTCCCCAATTTACAGTCAACAGCTCTCGGCAGACCACTAGCAGCAGCGAACTCGCAGACGGAGGTTCAAAACGTTACGAGTTACGGCGCTCTCAACAGCACATGAGACATCCGCAGACCTCAACCAGTTCCGGATCCTCTTAATTACAATTTGGACAATTACATTGCCACCCCTAAAGTATGTACAAATGTAACACATACACACCCTCGCCGTTTGAAGAGCTATGACCGTTTGAAGACTGAATGACCATAATACATTGCAACTACACGTGAAGACTAGTTCATAGTACAAATTTTTTAATGTAGATGAAAAAGTAAAATTAGTGTGCATCAAATTAATTATTATTCATAAAGTTATGAATAGTATTTTCATCTCTTTCTTCCATAAGATGAGTCATTTCACAACCAGTAAAATGCAACCCAATAAAAGAAAATTTTCTATCTTCTCACTATTCTCCCTACCAGTTTTATGAATTAATTGTTTACACTTAATTTATTTGTTAATTTCACAATACATTATTAACATAAAAGCTAGCTAACTGAGTCGCTACCGAGTAATTTTCTTCACCCGAAAAATAAATTCAAGTATATGAATTGATTAGTTTTAATATAAAGTCATACATGTTAATAGAAAACATAAAGTGGGTGTTTAATTTTTAAATTGTTATTATATTTGAATTAGTGCCTGAAGCACAAAAATTGTGTACCTACAACACATAAAGAGTTTATTATAAATTATGTTCCCAAAGAAAATGATAGAAAAATCTAGTACCTAAGTACATAGAAATTTTATTATGTTAGAAAAAGGCATATAAATTACATACATGAAGTTTGTAAATTATTATGATGTCAAAAGATCACAATTTAATTTATAGAGTTTGAAGCTCATAAATTATTAAATGTAAAAATTGTGTCAGCATCACACGAGATATTAATTGATGTCTGTGGTATTTTTGTTATTATATTCATGCATATTTATTTATTTACTTTCTGTAAACTTTGTTCAAACCTTGAAGGAGTGGAGGTCAACTGTTTGAAACTACTATCTAGTTGTAATAAAAAAATTTGTTTTGATGTCAAATTGATCCCACAAGAGCTGAAAGGGTTCGGTGGCCTTAATAATATAGTAATTTATAATTTGACCCCCCTTATCTTCTTAACTTTTAAAAAATTATATTTTTGCCTCAATATATTTTTGGCAGATTTATAATAAAGTCATTTGATGACAAATCAATGTACATAAATGAGATCTTTTACTATACAAGGTTACAAGATAAGACTACTAATTTGACGTAACAAAAATACAAATAAATTACAAGTGATAAGATTGCATTAAGTCAAGTTCACAGTGATGCATAATTACATAAAGAAAAAGAAAAACCATTATTACATAGAGAAGNCAAGTAAAATTATAGAAATCAAGTTCAAAGTGATGAATAATTACATAAAGAAAAAGAAAAATCATTATTACATAGAGAAGGAGAATACAAAAAAGATAACAAAAAAGAGATTGTGTGAAATTTGTTTCTGAAGCCATAGAAAATTTAGAGGATGAAGTTCAAGATTTTTGGAGAGAGAGAAGAGAAGCGGTGGTCCTTTTTAGAGAGAGAATTGAGATGTGAGATCTGATGTTGTTGTAAGGTTTTGATGCATTTATAGACAGGTTGTCAGAGGCGGTTCAAATGAACTAGGTTTTGGTTTGTATCCACTCATAAATCGAACCAACTATGTACTACTAGTTTGCCTTCGGTTAAGTGATTAGCACAAAATATTGCATATTTCATGTACATTTACATCTCTTTTACACTTACTTTTGTGGTTAAAATTAGCAAAACTGCAATGTTCGAGCTATTAATGGAGTTTTGGTATGTTTACAGGTAAAAAGGTTTAAAATGGTACTTGTTAAGCCCTATCATACTGTTTGAGTTGATTGGAGATGAGATGGTGACTTAACAATAGCTTGAAAAGCGGAGGATTCAAGGTTTTGGCAAAACAAGGGAAAACCTACCAGTAGGCCCTATCAGTAGTTTTTGGCTACTAGACTTGCACCTACCGCAAACCTATCAATAGTTTTTGCTCACTGGAGTAAAACCTACTGGTAGGTTTCCATTGACCTACCGGTAAGTTTTACTGAAACAGGACAGATTCTACATCTCAAGCTCTACAACTTTTGAGGTCCCATCATTGGGTCTCCCACTGGTCCCTGACACTCTTTACACACAGACATCCCCTCCTCAACCTTAGCTTGGACTTTTGGATGCTTGGACATTAATGAAAAGAAAGGAGAGAGAGAAAGCAAGGTGTGCAAGTTAGGCATGTGCTAGCCTGCCCAATCCATCCATTCAACCCCCCCTATTGATTGAAGGTCCATCACACAGACTAACGAGGCTCCATTGATGTTTTTGAAGAGCTACATTCACCATGATGGATATACATTGCAATATAGAGAGAAAAGCTCAAAGGAAAAAGAAGAAGTTTTAGAGAGAGAAGTTAATATTTTTGCATTTTCTTCCGTGCATTGTCTTGTAATTTCTTGCAAGACTGGTTTAAGTTTCATTTAATGTCCTTAATGTCATTTATTACAAGTACATTTCAAGTTTAGTCTTACATTTTAGAGTTCACCATTAATGCATTCAAGTTCTTCATTTTCAAGTTTTAAAATGGATATTGCATATTTCACTTCATAGTTTATATTTTCTTGCATTAACTTAGCTTCAATCTTCATTCCTTTATAATGTCTTTCTATTACATTTGTGTTTTTGCTTTAGATATGAGTTGCTAAACTTTTAAGTTGGTTAATCCAAGGGAGACCTCCCCTTGGGTATGTCATTTCAATTCATTTTCTTTCCTCCTCGTAGTGTACGTTGATTCGGTTTGACTGGGTTGAGTGTGAACGTAGTTGTGAGTCTTTGATATCCCGTAGACTTGTCACGGGGTATGTTTGAATCCTCACCTCCACCCTAGTCCCTCACTTCCCACGAATCAATCAAACATCTAGACACCATTGGAGGAAGGTCTCGAGTTAAGTTGGCATTCCCATTGGAATGACCCCTTTGGATTAGCCAACACTTGTTTTCATTTCAAATTCTATCAAGATACAATCACAAACCAAACTCAAACAACAAAAGATGTTTGCATTTTTCTCTTTTTCACAAAATCACCTTCAACACGATTCACCTCCTTCCCTGAGAAGACAACCTTGGAATACGATTTTCAAGTAAAACACAACACTTGAAAGTCTCCCTACACTTGGGGAGCACTTTTTTTCACACACACACGTTTTATTCCACACATCCGTTTTCCCCATTTCTTGCATTAAACCTGAGTGAGAGTGACACTCACCCATATATAACCCATATACACATTGTGGGTTCATGTGCGGAGCTTAGGGAATACGAGGAAATAAACCAAGCATTAAGTCGATTTAGGGTCGGGTAATCGGATATATAAGTTTTTTTGAAGAAGTCATATATATGGTTTGTATACTACAACATATTCATAGACACGATCAAAGTGATCAATTTGTTTATGTGATCTTAGAATTGTGACCAAGCCAATATTTATAACAACAATTTGACAAGCATATTTTGTTTATTTAACTCAATTATTTTGTTTCATATAGTTTTTACAAAAAATGGCCAATATAAAAAAAAAATAGAATTTCCTGACCTAGACATCTCAAGGTACAACATGTTATGAACTCTAGATGTCGAGCTTTACTTTGATTTAAAAAATCTTTGGAGATACCATAAAGGATAAAAATATGAGAACTCCTAAGAATCACACAAAGTCATTGACTTTTCTTTTCCGCCACATGCACGAAGGATTAAAAATGAGTACCTCACTATTAAAGATCCTTTAAAGTTGTGGAAAATTTTAAAGGTTAGCTTTGATCACTAAAAAATCACCATCCTTCCAAAGGCTAGGCATGCATGGTTTGACTTATGATTCCAAGACTTTAAGACCGTACGCTACTATAATTCAGCAGTACATAGAATCCCTAGTAAATTGGGATTTTGTGCAGTCTGTACTAGATTTAGAAAAATTGAAGAAAACATATTCTATATTCCATAAGTCAAACATTTTATAGTAACAACAATATAAGTAGCATAGGGTTCAAGACATTTAATGAACTTATAACATTTCTTTTGCTTACTGAGAAAAATAATGAATTACTAATGGTGAACCATAAGCCTCATCCGACTAGCCATCAAGCTTTTTCAGAAATAAGTGTTTGTTGTTGGTGAACGAGGTAGATTCATTATGCAGATTCTTAAGAAGTAACTAACATACATACAAGAGACACTTGAAATGCTGTTTATTGAATTATTCTTTTTTTACTGTAATTTCTAAATGTTTGCTTTTGTTATTGAACTAGTNCTTAAGAAGTAACTAACATACATACAAGAGACACTTGAAATGATGTTTACTGAATTATTCTTTTTTTACTGTAATTTCTAAATGTTTGCTTTTGTTATTGAACTAGTTGTTGCACATGGGGCGTTTTGAATTATAATTTTTTTTATATTTTTAGCTTTGCTCAAATTATATAACAACTATATTATCAAATATATGCTTATGAATCAAGTTATAGAATTACAATCCAAGCTCTAACTTTTGTTTTTTAAAAGTATCAAACATAATCTTTGGAATGTAATAAAATGAAGCTTTAAACTAATGTGATGGGAGTATGTTATTCTAGAACTACATTGGTGTAATGTTGTTTACTATATAGTCATGTTATAAGAAAAAAATAAAAAGCATCATGATACAGACAACAAAAATAGGTTTCTCTTACCTATATATATTTTTCTATATATTCAATGGCCTACTTTATTGTGTTTTAAAAATGGCCTACTTTATGATTTTTTACTTCATAAAATGAAGAAATAGATCAAGTGGCCTAGTTTCAGAAGTATTCGACAGTGGCTCAATAAACACTATGATGCATGCCAAATAATTATGGCCAT